CCAGCAGCTGGGTCTGAAGGCCAGCCAACTTGCAATTTCTATAATGCATATTTTTTTTCGGGTGTTAAAGGATGATTAACTGTCAGGCTGAGAGAGGCAGGCAGATTCCCCGTCTGAGAAAGGCAAGTCGTCCTTCGGAAAAAGCGACAGTGTGCATGTGGGATCAATCAGGTAATAACTGGAGGGAATTTATTCAGTGCCCCTGACTTCAAGTTCCCAATGGACTGTTGACGTCTTAAAATCCATGGACCGCGGAGTGGAAAGGATCACCAGGTTAGAAGGGGACTCTGTTGCAGCGGGCATATCAGTATATGTTCACATACTGGTGAGTAAACCCCACTGAATGCAGCCAGACTTGCTTCAGAGTTAATACGCATAGGATTCCTAGAACCATACAATTGTAGAGTTGGAAGGGACCCTGAGAAACGTACTGGGAGCCAGTGAAGATCCTTTAGGACCTGTGTTATATGGTCCCGGCAGCTACTCCCAGCCACCAGTCTAGCTGCCACTGGTTGCCCCAGTCTAAATTAATAATAACAATAATTTTATTATTTATACCCTGCCCATCTGACTAGGTGGCCCCAGCCACTCTGGGCAGCTTACAACATATATAAAAACATAATAAACATTAAAGCTAAAGGGCTGCCTTCAGATGTCTTCTAAACGTTCTATCATTACTTATCTCCTAACTCCATACCCTCGCAACATTTCTCCGATGAAAATAAGGGCATCCTAAGGAAAAGAAAAGGGACATGGGTGGCGCTGTGGGTTAAACCACAGAGCCTAGGACTTGCCGATCAGAAGGTTGGCGGTTCGAATCCCTACGACGGGGTGAGCTCCCGTTGCTCGGTCCCTGTTCCTGCCAACCTAGCAGTTCGAAAGCACGAAGTGCAAGTAGATAAATAGGTACCGCTCCGGCGGGAAGGTTTCCGTGCACTGCTCTGGTTCACCAGAAGCGACTTAGTCATGCTGGCCACATGACCCGGAAGCTGTACGCCGGCTCCCCCGGCCAATAAAGTGAGATGAGCGCCACAACCCTAGAGTAGTCTGCAACTGGATCTAATGGTCAGGGGTCCCTTTACCTTTAAGGAAAAGAGGGATATTCCGGGATCAAATCAGAAACTGAAACAGCTTCTGTAAATCCAGGACTATCCATAGAAAATAAGTACACTTGGCGGGTCTGCCAAGTGCTGACGCCAGACCTAGATATGTCGTTCCTGCTAAGGATATATAATTCAGTCTAGGAACCTGGGTGGTGAGTGCTAGCACTGCAGGTCTTCATGAGACTGATCTTCCAAGCGCAGGACGGCACAATGATTTTGAATCATCTTACCAAAACAAAAAATCTCGGCTTTCCTTCCTTCTTTTTTTTCTCCCCCTCTCCGAATGTCACAGCCCAACTGTCTTGCACTGATGGTAGCGGTTGAAAGCTTTGCAAATGTGTTGGCAGCAGTCCTTGCTGCTACCAGCAACCCAGGAACGAGGGGTGTGGGGTTTGGGGTAGGGGGAGCTTCCACTTGTCGAAGGAAGCATCTCCTGGCATGCATCCCACGCTACAAGCAGCGGAGCATTTGCAGACAGGTTGAGGGAGGCATTCCCCCTGCTGACCTCTCCTGCTTCACCAAGGCCATATAACACCGGTTCTGAAAGACCTACATTGGTTCCCAGATTGTTTCCAAGCACAATTCAAAGTGTTGGTGCTGACCTTTAAAGCCCGAAACCAGGCATAGGCAAACTTGGCCCTCCAGATGTTTTGAGACAACAATTCTGGCAGTTCCCTCACTGCGAGAAGTGAGGTAACAGAGAACTAGGCAGAGGGCCTTCTTGGTAGTGGCCCCCGCCCAATGGAACGCCCTCCCAGCAGATGTCAAGGAAATAAACAACTACCTGACTTTTAGGAGATATCTGAAAGCATATCAAAGTTTAGAGAAGTTTTTAATGTTTGATGTTTCTTCGTGTTTTTACTATTCTGTTGGGAGCCACCCAGAGTGGCTGGGGAAACCCAGCCAGATGGGCGGGGTATAAATACATTATTATTATTATTAGTAGTAGTAGTAGTAGTAATAATATTAGTATTAGTATTATTAACTGGCAAGATTAAAGGCTTAGGCAATTTTATGGAGGACAAGGACTACTGGGGTCTAGTAGCTTTGATAGAACCTCCAAGTTCAGAGGCAGTATACATCTAAATGCAAAACAGATTCGAAGGGATGGCTGCCACCATCATACTCTGTGAATTTCCCAAGTCACCTGGCTACCTCTTTACTATTAGCAATAGGGTGGACTTTTGCTTCCTTGCTGTGAAACAGGAGACTTTTAATCACATGGGTCATGGGTTTGAGCCCCATGTTGAGCAAAAGAGTCCTGCATTGCAGGAGGCTGACCTAGATGACCCTCACGGCCCCTTTAAACAGTTCTATGATTCTATGAAACAACGCTTTGCAGAGATTAATTAAACTGTAAAAATGGTGGTAGATTTTCCCAGCAACAGCAAATTCTAGAAACTTGCACTTTTTCATTGCGTTTCATTTCATTTTACTATTTTCTTATACAGCTGTGGTTCTTATTATGCTCAAGTCTAAAGCAGATGACTGTCTCTCCACTTACCCAGCGAGTTCGTGGGTGTGCAGAACACACAGGCACTCATTTTTATGCCTACACTTTTTCTGGGAGTGGGGCGAGGATTGAGAGTGAATGAGTAAACGTGTGTGTGAGAGAGAGACAGTTTCAAAGTCTGCGGCCACCTGCATTTTTAACCATTTGATATGTGGACGAAACGCCGGCAAGCAGTTGCTGGCAGGTTGCCACAGTAATTGCAGAGCCTAGGGCTTATTTTCAAGAGTGTGATCCTAGTTTTGTGGGTTTCTTGCCATTAACATTTTCGCAGCGGCGTATTTATGTGTGCAGGTACAGTTTAACCTGATTTGGCCAAATGGCCTAGAAAATAGGATGTCAGATTCAAAGGAGGATGGGGCTTCTGGGCATCTTTTAAGGAGAGGCAATTTCAGCCAAGGCAGAATCTCCTCAAAAAACTTTTCCACATCTGTTAAAGACGCTGGAGCCGCGCCCTCTTTTGCATGTGGTCGCCCTACCCGAAAACACCCCAAAAAGTGATATAGTTGTGGATCATCTTTTCCCATCTCTTCTGCTCACTTCCCTGAACATTTGCCATTTTACTCATGCTCCCCTTTATCTGTTCCAAAGCTCGCTTGATGCCAATATTTCCACAAATGCTGAGTCTCTGACCCTCTAGTGGGGTTGTGGTGAGGTCACACCCTCTTTGATAACTGATATACTGTGGTGCATCTTTATTGCTGTTTGAGGTCATAGCGGCGTAGCTTAAGTCTCTAAATAGGGTCATGTCGGAAAGGAGTTCTGTGGTGTCTTACAATTTCCCGGAGCTTCAAAGGGGGCACAGAATGGCCTCAGCTGACTCAGTCGCTCTGCAAGTTGGGAGGAAGCACTCGGATTGATGGCCGGGCATGACAACGTCATTAATAATGATACTTAACATTTGTTTTCAAGTACTCTGAAAATACCTATCCATTCTGAAGGAAATCAGCCCTGAGTGCTCACTGGAAGGACAGATCCTGAAGCTGAGGCTCCAATACTTTGGCCACCTCCTGAGAAGAGAAGACTCCCTGGAAAAGACCCTGATGTTGGGAAAGATGGAGGGCACAAGGAGAAGGGGACGACAGAGGACGAGATGGTTGGACAGTGTTCTCGAAGCTACAAACATGAGTCTGACCAAACTGCAGGAGGCAGTGGAAGACAGGAGTGCCTGGCATGCTCTGGTCCATGGGGTCATGAAAAGTTGGACACGACTAAATGATTAAACAACAACAACTCTGAGCATTATGTGATTTGGTGGTCACTGAACAAGTTTCTGGGATCAAGGCAAAGAGCTGGACAATATAACAGCCTGGAACGGGGCAATGTATCTACTAATAAGGGCATTCTTAGGACATGTGAGATCATTAGACATCCCTTGACAGAGATGCCAGGGCCCGAACCGGAAATTTTGTTTCCTGAAGGTGGGATGTTGCTGAGTCAGTTTTTCTGGACTATCTATGTTCGGTGCCCTCTGGGAACAGAAGCCATGGAACAACAGCCCCTTTGATAAGCAGGCATAAACAGAATTAAGACTGTGATTGGCAACTCCTGTGACAGGGAGGCAACATAAAGCCTTTGGATTGGTTACTCCCGATATAAACAGAACTAGGAGCCTAGCTGTCTCTCCACACCTGGTCAATAGAGCAGAATGTTTCACCAGTGGCAATTCCAGCTTCAGAAAGTGACCTCAGGGAACCTGGACCACAAAACGCATATGGTCTGCATTTATCTATGACTGCCCACAGGCCCTGTCTTGCCAAGAATGGCAAACCAATGGTTCCCACACTGATTTTTGAAGCATTTTTCTAAACTGAACAAATAGTTCATAGAATCATAGAATTGTATAGTTGGAAGATACCCCGAGGGTCATCTAGTCCAACCCCCTGCAATGCAGGAATCTCAACTCAAACATCCATGACAGATGGCCATCCAACCTCCAGGGAAGGAGAGTCCACCACCTTCCAAGGGAGTCCATTCCATTGTCAAACACCTCTTACTGTCCAAAAGTTCTTCATGATGTTTAGTAGAAATCTCCTTTCTTGTAACCTGAAGCCATTGGTTTGAGTCCCACCCTCCAGAGCAGGAGAAAACAAGCTTGCTCCATCTTCCATGTCACAGCCCTTCAGATATCTGAAGATGGCTATCGTAGCTCCTCTCAGTCTCCTCTTTTCCAAGCTAAACATACCCAGCTCCCTCAACTGTTCCTCGTAAGGCTCGGTTTCCAGAACCTTGGTCATCTTGGTTGCCCTCCTCTGCACACGTTCCATCTTGTCGACATCCTTCTTAAATTGTGGTGCCCAGAATTGGACACAGTATTCCAGGTGTGTCTACGGCTGGTTTTCCAACTCACTTGGAACTCTGTGCATTCAAGATCAGCCTTGCTTTTGTTTTTTTTTTGTTTTTTTTTTTTTAAATCATATTTATTAAAGTTTCCAAAAATATAAAAATACAAAGAAAAAAGACAAAAGAAAGAAGATATTTAAAAACCTTACTTTCATTCCCTACTTTCTGGGACTCCCCCCCTCCCCCCCCCAATTGTATTCCCCTTTCCTTAATTTGGTTCTACAAGCTCTCACTCCCAATTTAAAGCTTAATTTGTTTAACCCACTATCCAGATTGAATTGTACAAATCTTACCACCGTCCCACATCATTAACAGAAAAAGAAAAAAGATTTTCCCCAAGATCCACCCCAGTTCCTTCCACAAATTCCCTTTTTTTTAAACACGTCCGATCAAAGTAAAATAACATGCGTAAGTTATGTAAAGAAATAGAAAATAAGAGATATAGAAAAATTCAAAAAATGGTTACACAGCCTTTGGATTTCAAATCTGCCCCCTTCCCGGTTTGAATTCCCCATGTCCATCAGTCTATACATTATCAGCTTGGAAGTCTCATTTCATGACCAGATTTCTCCCCGATTCCATCTTGCCGGTTTTCTTTTAGTTTATTAATTTAAATAATATTTGACTTCAAATGTCCAATCTAACAAAGGCCTTTAATTTCCTTGATCTTTACCACTCCTCCCGTTGTTCTTTCCGTGTCGTAATCAGTCCTTTATTCTTCTTATTCCTCACTTTCTCAGGTTTCTTGTCCTGTTCAGCTGCTAAAACTTTCTAATTCAGAAATCTAGTGTCTCTGCAGAGGTTTGTTATTCAGGAACAAAAACTTACGTCCAGTCCCTTTCTTTCTTCAATAAAAAATTCCATTGTCTTCCTCTGTAGACAAAATACTCTTTCAGTTTTGCAGCTTTCCCAGAAGATAACAAATCCTGTGCGAATCCCAGGGTATTTTTCCACTTACGACCGTTCTTGTAGTATCCCGAAAGCCCCTCTAGGGGATTGTAATAACTTGTATCCTCTAATCCAAAAGTCAAATTGTTGCTTATTTTCCAACAGTTTATATCCATATTATAGCAAATTGTAACAAAATTAACCAGCAAGGTCCTCATAACAAAGTCCTCTTTATATTCTCCAGCTTTGACAGCCACTTTGACAGCTGTCAAAGTCTCCGTCTCTCTTCACCAGGCTCCACGAATCGCCCCGGTTCCCAGGGGGGGGGTTGCATTTTCTTCTCACCCTCCACTCTTCTCCTCCAGCACATTTCTTATAATTTCCCATCGTGAAATTAATGATTTTTATCAGAGACATACTTCCCTTTGGACCTTGGTTACCCAGTCCGTGTTTTGGACTGCTTACTATAGGGGGATTGACTTCCTTTTAAATCGCCCCGCTCGTGCCAAATCAAAATTTTGAACCCGGTTTCCCAATTACTCACGGGTTGTTGTTAATAGTCAAATTTTCAATAGAAGAAGTCAGCGCTCTCCGTCGAATGGCATGCGGCTGCGCTCGGCAGGAAAGCAGTGGACTCAAAGCACCACGCCACTCCCGGCACCCGATCCGAAGCCTTTAAAAGGCTCCTTCACGAGTCGGGAGGCGCTAATGGTGCAAGCCGAGTCACCCATGTCCACGGACTCCGTGCCCGTGGTTTTTAAGGGTCCCCGCGTCGCCGGCGCGGTAGGACCCAGCCCCTGCCGAGCAGACTCCCTCCGGAGCTCGGAGGGAGTCCGCCATTCCGCGATGGCGCTAACCCGGAAGATCAGCCTTGCTTTTGAGCGAGATTTCCCAAAATACTTTCTTGCCCATTTGGTGTGCAAGTTGTCCAGAGACAACTAGGTTCTTGGTTCGAGCAAAATGCTTTGTGTGCTGGCTCATTTGCAGGTTTGTTAAAAGCAAAAACAGGCTCCCATGCAAGACACTGGCTCTTCTGAAAGTTAATTTAAGAGGCACTTTTTGCTGAGACAGATTTGCTGGATATCTCAGATGTGACAACAGGCAGAGCTTAAATCCTTTTGCAGCAGGTTAAGCGGGTGATGCTTAAAATCCATTTTTTTTACAAGCAGAGTGTGGCAAGGACTTCCTGTTGGGCCATAAAGATAGTAACATTAAGCACTGAACATATATGTAGTCAATATAAATACAAATGTTAAAATACAAGTGGGATCTTGAACAAAATGTTCCGGTGCAAAATTCATTTCTTTGGGGTTCCAGCCAGCCTACTCCCTTTTGGGACACTTCCATTTCTGTCCTCACTGGTTTTCCATTTCCTCTCCTCCAATAGTCAATCAGCATTCAATGCTCACTAAGCACGCTCACCGGGCTGTTTCAGGGATTCCCCCCAAAAAGGCTTTTCTCTATTTTTTTGTTCTTCCAAAAACCTTGAGGGCTCCCTAGGCCTACTGGCGACACCCTCTAGTGCACGGATGGTACCATTTTCACTACATAAGCAGAACCTCCAAGTGTCCCTATTTTCCGGGAACAATCCCGGATTTACAGAAGCCGTCCCGGTTTCTGATTTGATCCCAGAATGCCCCACTTTTCCTTAGGACGTTCCTATTTTCATCGGAGGAATGATAGATCGTACAGAGTTATGCCACCCCCGAGCCAAAGAGATAAGTAACTATTCAACCTTTAGAAGACCTCTGAAGGCAGCCCTGTATTGAGAAGTGTTTTTAAAAAATGGTTAATGTTTTATTATGCTTTTATGTATGTTGCAAGCTGCCCAGAGTGGCTGGGGCCACCTAGTAGGGCAGGGTATAAATAATAAAATCATTGTTGTTATTATTTTGGACCAGGGCACCCCTATTTTCAAGGACGCAGTTGGCGCTGTGGGTTAAACCACAGAGCCTAGGTTTTGCTGATAAGAAGGTCAGCGGTTCGAATCCCCGCGACGGGGTGAGCTCCTGTTGCTTGGTCCCTGCTCCTGCCAACCTAGCAGTTCAAAAGCATGTTAAAGTGCAAGTAGATAAATAGGTACCACTCTGGCGGGAAGGTAAACGGCATTTCCGTGCGCTGCTCTGGTTCGCCAGATGGGGCTTAGTCATGCTGGCCACATGACCCGGAAGCTGTACGCCGGCTCCCTCGGCCAATAAAGCGAGATGAGCACCACAACCCCAGAGTCGGCCATGACTGGACCTAATGGTCAGGTGTCCCTTTACCTTTACCCCTATTTTCATCGGAGAAATGTTGGTGGCCAGGCCTAAGGACCAACCAGCACTTAGTTTGCTGTTAGTATGTATGGCATCTGTCCTAGTTCTCCTTTAGTTTTGCGGGTCAGGCAGCGGGGGCGAGGACTTTAACGTGGTCTAAATTTCTCTCTTTTAGGCTTTCACAAATTGGGAGAGGCGCACATGTTCTTCTGCCAGGGCATCAGCGACATCGCACCTTGCAGTGTTGGTGCTACACCCTGAATTGTGATGTTGTGTCAGCAATGTGTTCTGTTACTCACCCCAGCCCCAGTCCCTCGGTGCTAGTTTATCACTCATGGATTGCGGTGTCAAGTGATGGATGTGTGAACATGTAGAGGGGCCGGATATGAATGTCGAGCTCATGGGCTACATGCAGCCTTTGGGAGGGCCCTCCCCATCTTTTATTTTTTTATTCTATATATTCATTTTATTTGAAGCATATCGTTCCTGCTGTTCGCCCATAAAAATCCACCCATTTTCAAGAGTTTCTTAAGATGCTTATATTTTTTTTAAAGAAAAACAATGACAGGAAGGGAAAAGTGGTGGGATTGGAGGAGGAAAACTTTAATTTAGCTGAGACAGATTTCCCCCTGATGGGCTGTAGGTCTCCTGTTGCGCCTTTTTTTAAAAAAACAACAACAACAACATATTTTTTATTAAAGATTTCTTGATTTATAAAAGTATGTGCAATGTCTCTTTTTTTCGAGTTACATTTTCTACAGATCAGTTTCATTTATTGAGACATTAGTGTTACATTAGGAAGAAAAAGGTCCCCTCTTGGCCCTGCCCCTCCCCTGTCCCACAATGCAATTAGGAGGCTTTTTTATTTAAAAACAACCAACCAACCAACCAACCAACCAACCAATCAATCAACCCTGCTTGCTGTGCAAGAAATATATTCAGCAGGGGAGTCACAGCTAGGAAGGTAAATCCTGCCCTCCCTGCATGCTGCAACACTCCCCCATCTCTGAAAATGAGCCTCCCCACAGCAATTTGGTGTTAAAATTGGTGCCCCTGGAGTCTTTTAGCACACTAATAGTCATGCAGGCAATGGGGTGGATTGGGGCTCAAAGGACAAAGCAAGCAAATGGCACATTTTGCACATGACTATTGGCCACTTGCAACCAAATAATAATAATAATAATAATAATAATAATAATGATGATAATGATTTATTTATACCCTTCCCTTCTGGCTGAGTTCCCCCAGCCACTCTGGGTGGCTTTGAACAAAATATTAAAAATACAATAAAACATCAAACACTAAAAACTTCCCTAAACAGGGCTGCCTTCAGATGTCTTCTAAAAGTCAGATACAGTGGTACTTCGGTGACAGACGCTTCAGGTTACAGACTCCGCTAACCCAGAAATAGTACCTCGGGTTAAGAACTTTGCTTCAGGATGAGAACAGAAATTGTGCGGCGGCAGCGGGAGGCCCCATTAGCTAAAGTGGTACCTCAGGTTAAGAACAGTTTCAGGTTAAGAACGGACCTCTGGAACGAATTAAATTCTTAACCTGAGGTACCACTGTACTGTAGTAGTTTACTTCCTTGACATCTGATGGGAGGGCTTTCCACTGGGTGGGCACCAGATGCCTGGGCGCCAGAATGACGCCTGACATCTCCACCCTCTGGAATTGTATGCCTGGGGATCATTGAATCTGGACTGTTTTCACACACTAGCAACACACCCCGTTGAATTACATCAGTTATATTTTATCTGCACAATCGGAATGAAGTTCTGGAACCAAATTGTTTTTTTTTTTTCTGTGCAGCCTGAGCAGGAGCCATCCCCATTAAAAAAAAGAGGTCCTGGATCAAGTGACTTTCGAGTTCGCAAGCTCTTAACCTAGCTCAGGGTTGTTACCTGAACCAGCCAGATGTTTGACTGGGAATCAATTACAGTTAGTCCATCACAACAAGACTTTAGAGCCGTTTGGCCCCCCAAAATGGCAACTAGACATTCTGTTTTGGTGACTGTAACCTTGGTTTAAGGAGCCATTTGGCGCCTAGCTTGTCCACCTGCATTTCTAACATTGTTACCAGGCAAACACAGGCAGGGGAACTTGGTGTTTGCTTAGTTTAGTTCCAGCCCGAGTTTGCATTGCAATGTATCGTCCCAGTCCCTCTTGGCA